TCTCTCTCTCTCTCTCTCTCTCTCTCTCTCTCTCTCTCTCTCTCTCTCTTTCTTTCTTTCTCTCTGGGGGGCTGGGGCGAAGCTGCAGATAGAGTGCTTGGTGATGCTTGGCTGATGGTGCCAGCTTCCAGGAGACTGAAGAACATCAGTGATTGCCCTGCAAACCAGTAAACAAATATTTATGGTTAAAGTCATAAAGACCAAACAAAAACAAAAAAATCATAAATTAACAAACGTTTCAAAGTATTTTCCTCGTATCGATGAATGCCAAGGACTACAAATGTTCGTTTACATTCTGAAACAGCAGAAGGGACTGAAAATAAGTCGAACTGTAAACTGATCAAACTGGCAGAAGTTTTGTAAAAGCTGATGCTTTTACCCATCATGTCACAGAACTGGCATCATATCTTTTGAACTTGCCGCCCAAAGTGAAACAGGAAGTGACATCAAAGCGGAACACTTTTAAAATGGGAACTTCCTGGTATTTGTTTATTGAAAAAAAATACAGTAGTCCCTCGCTCCTTCGCGGTTTGTTTATCGCGGTCTCGCTCTATCGCGGTTTTTCCAAATAAGATTGGACATGACACACAATTGGCTGATTGATGGATGAGCCGCACGATCAGCATGGAATTTTTATTTAAAATAAATTATTTTAAATTATTTAGCACCTGTTGCATCTTTGTGTAGCCCACAGCTGCAGATAAGCTTCTTCCTGCAGCTGATCAGCTGTTCTCCATGCAGTGCAGAGAAGTGGGCGTAGCCAAGAGCGCTTGCAGGTGGCTGAGAGGAGCAGCAGCGCTGAAATCATGACATTCTGTGCTCTTTTAGAGTATTTAGAGTTTAGCAACATTGTTTAGAATATTGCAAGAGTGTGAGAATGGTTTAAAAAGCCTTTATATATACTAAAATCAACTACTTCTTACTGCATGTTCTACTATCCCTACTTTGCAGTTTGTCACTTATCGCAGGGCTTCTTCAGGTTACAGATCCCCCGTGATAAATGATTGACTACTACTGTATTATTTGAATGCTGACTCTTCTTCGTCTCTGTCTGACAGTGGCTCAAAATAATCTAAAGAAACATCAGATTCTTCTCTACTGTCTGAGTTGTGAGCCATTGCTCTGTTTACATGCAGGCGTTAACCTTTATCATCACTTCCTGTTACTGCATAGTGGCGACAGCTTAGTGGTTAGGGAGGCTGTGGCTGAGTGGTTAGAGCAGTTGTCCTTCAATGCAAGAGTTGGAGGTTCAAATCCACCAGCAGTCATATGCCAAAGTGTCCCTGGGCAAGACACTGAACCCCTCACTGCCTCCGATGTGTGTCCCATCGGTGTATGAATGTGATAAAGCTCTGATTAGTCTCTTCAGATTGATTTGTTCAATTAGTCTTTGTAGTAGAGTGCTGTATGAATGGGTAGATGAGGACACAGATTGTAGTGTAAAGAGCTTTGAGTATCTTGATAAGATAGAAAGGTGCTATAAAAGTTCAGTCCATTTACCATTTGTACATGCAAATAACTTAACAGCTGTTTATCTCTGCAGCGTGAAATGTTTTTAGCATAACGTTATTAATGCTATCTTTCAAAAAAATATAGTAATGCATTTGTATTTTATTTTAACAATTTCGTTGGCACTTTAAGGGTTCCTTAAACTTCAAACTGCGCCATTTTGATGTAGATCAGGATAAGCTTTTTAAGTTTATTATTGCCACACTTTGCAGGGAGCACCTTTACATTACTGAAGCTCAGCAGTTGGACCGAGTGGCACCTCACAAAGTGGATTACTTTCTCCTTCACTCTTCGGACGCAAGACTTTAAGAAGCGTCTCTGTGGGGCTCAATAAGCATCAAAGCTTAATGCACGAGACTCTTGCACCCAATCTGTTGCCTCAGCTCCTGTTTGTTTTCTGGCGGGGTGTGGGGGAGGGAGGGGGAGATGCTTCCTCTCCCAGCCTCTCCATCGTCTCCATCCGTGGCGCGTCTCCAGCTCTGAATCCACTTTGGCTGTGGACGCGGGTGGAAGCGCTCCTCTCTCTCTCTCTCTCTCTCTCTCTCTCTCTCTCTCTCACTCTCACACACACTCACACACACACAGGTGCACACATGAAGCGAACAGGACTGGACTGACGGGAGAAATATCACATCAGAGAGAGGCGGTGATGGTAAGGCTGTTGTTTTTGTCTGATTCTGGAAAGACGCGACTAAATTCAGACTCTGCAGAGAAAAGAAGAAATTTGGAGAAAACGTTTCATTCACGCAGAGAATAAAAGTGTCAGAGCTGCACGTGAGAGTTGAATTCTTACTTTCTGTGCTAAATCCTATACGAACTTATTTTAAATTAATGTCGCTCACTTGTTTTAACAAACGCAGCAAACAATGTATTTAAAAGGTTTTTAACAACTCATTTTAGACCGGAAGTATTTTATTTATAACCTGACCAGAGCCAATATTTTATTCACAAAACAAATAACAAATAGGATATTCTTGAATTTAGTTTCGCTGCAGTAAATAAAATGCATTTGCAGGTAAAGAAATTAGTTTTAATTTATTTAGTTTTTTTCTCATATTGTGTTATACTACTTTTTGGGGGTTTATTTTATAGATTATAGTTATTGTGTTGTTTGACTTGATTTTGTGCCATTTCAGATGCAACTCTAGCTATTCATTTATTTAATCATGTCTGTTTCAGCCACTAAAACTAATGCTGTAACAAACCTTGGTATAGAAGTATCTCTTGTGCATTTGTCTCCTTTTGCTCAAACCAAAGCTCCTGCGCTCCACATTTGTCTCTGTTTTCAAACAGCGAGCACATCCTGCAGCTAACTTATAAAAAAAAATGCACGTTTTGAACACAGACAAGATAAAATTTAATTTTTCTTCATTTTTCCTTCACGCGTTCTTTTCTCTGTGTGGCTTTCATACGACAAGATTCATCTTCTCTAACACAGGAGGTCCTCTGAGCAGCCAGGGGTCATGTGTGTCTTGTTGCTCTGCTCATGCTTTGTGGGGGAGATGTTGGTTAAAACTAAGGAGCAAAGAAGGGGAGAAAAGTATTGATGGATGGAGAACGGAGCGAGAAAGACCAGCCATTGGTTTTTGCAACTCCTCCCCGGTGTTGCTACTGTTGCTCGCTCCTCTGTGTTCTCCAGGATTGATCACAAGCCTTCGCCAATAAACAGCCTCAACTCTGAAGATGTGTGAACTCTCCGAGGTGCCTTAATAGAAAAATCATTGGCGCTGTCCCCATCCCTCAATAACTCGCTTCCCCAAATCCCTCAGTCCCACCCTCATCACTAACTTCTAACCTCATTTGTTGCTTTTATTTTCCACAGAGGCAATTACCTTCCTCGCATCGACACTCTTGCTGCTGGCTGTGTTATCTCAGCTGCGCCAGTGAATGTGCCCAGTGAATTTACAACTCAAACCTGCTGGTGGAGCATGCGCCACACAGCGTAATCTTTAGCTGATCCTGTCCCCGAGGCTCTCATCCCTTGTAAGAGCTGTTATTTTATGAGGGAGACAAATAAAAAATAAAAAGCTGGGCCCATCTGAAGCTGCAGTCTCCTTCCAGCTGTTGACAGAGTGTCTATTATTTCTGATGCAGGGAGACATAAGACAGGGAGGCAGGAGGACTTGCAAATCAAATTGCTTGAATCTATTGAAGCATCCGTCTTCGTTCTCCAGAGGGCAGAAGGGTGAAGAGCGGAGAGACTCTGAGCCCTGATCATGTCTGGAAAGGAAAACAAAAACCTGCCACTGAGGAATTGTCTGATACGCCTTGGTAAGCCAGCTGTGTAGTACAAGCAGCAGAGGGATACTAAGCTGATATATTTTAAGTTTCTTATATGTTTGTACACTTTGTGCACATTTCTGTATTTTTTTTAACAAACTGTATCTCTGTTCCTGTGAACCAGCCTAAGAAACTTTTTTTTTCCTTGATGAGTTTATTCTCCGCATCTTTTTTTTTATATAGCTGTATTCAAACAGAATGGCTCATGATGTCAGCTTGATTCCCTTTCCCCCTCCTTCACTCACGGAGTAAACGCCTTTCGTTTGGCGCTGTTTGTGATTAATGGAACATCAAAAGCTCAGTGTGATACGTTCCCGAGAATATGAGTCTGCCAGGGACACATAAACATCATTAATGAAGAAGAGGCAGATTGGAGATAGACAGAAAGAGGGTGAGGGAGCAAACAGGAAGGTGGAAATCTATTTATTTGTCAGAGATATGATAAATAATCACCTGCACTTATAATAATGATTAGCTCTGCAAAGCTACTTTGAGGTATGTCCAGGTACCACCACCATCAGTTTTAAGCTTATATGAATTAATGAATAAATGTCAAAACACTTTTTCCCCAACTCCATCTGGGAAATTCATGTCTCCCTTTGCTCTTTCAAGCCCAGTGGCAAAGAACTCAGAAGCACACAAAGGAAACATCTCCACTCAAGACAGCTATATTTATCTGAGCATGTAGCTCTCTACTGGGCTTAGAGGCTTAATTACCCAGAAGAGGGGGAAGAGAAGATGAAATGTAATTATGCAACAGTGTGCAGAGTATCCCGAGTAGTGGCGCCGTGTTTGATAGGAACATCAATGCTATTTCCAGTTGAAGGTCTGACCTTTGCATCGTCCTTTTTGGTAAAAAAGGAGCTCCTCGGGAAACAAATTATGAACTTTTTACTTGTAATATTTAAGCTACTTATGTCAGAAAGGATAAAAATGGCTCTCTGGTTTTTCCTCTTGTACTTTGTAGATAAAAGTGTCTCGGGGTGCTCCTTTTTAATGTGTGGGCCTATTTAAGAAGCTGTTTAACCATTGGTGGATTTTTCTAAAACTTAAATTACCACTCAGCTTAGCATCAGGAAGTTTTTCCAGTGTGTATTTCTGCAGCCTGCTAATGCTTATAGACTGTTTCATATTTAATGCACAGATTTTCTGCTCTCATTAAAAAAGTGTAGCAGATGCAGTGTGCTGGATGACTGCTGACATTTGCTGAAGAAGCTGAAATGTTAAAGTTGTTCAAGTTAAAACAAGCAGAAGACAAAAGGAGCAAAACACTAGCTAAAAGATAAATGAAGCAAAAAAGGCTAGCTAAGAGCCAAGAATAATTAAACACTATCTGAAAACTCAGAGCATTAAAATGTTAACAAGACGCTAAATGTGACAAATTCCAAACTAAAAGCTCAAAGTAACTAAATGTTAGCTAAAAGCTAAAAGTAGCAAAATGCTAACTTAAAATGAAAAGCATCATAATGCTGTCTAAATGCTAAAAGTAACAACAAGCAGGTTAACCAATGTAGTATCAAAAAGCTATCCAAAAGGTAAAAGTAGAAGAATGGTATAAAAGTAGTTAAATGTTAGCTAAACGCTAAAAGTAGCAAAATGCTAACTTAAAATGAAAAGTATCAAAATGCGGTCTAAATGCTAAAAATAACAACAAGCAGGGTAACCACTAAAAGCATCAAAAAGCTATCCAAAAGGTAAAAGTAGAAGAATAGTAGCTGAAAGCTAAAGGTAGCTAAATAAGACAAAAACAGATTCTGAAGCGGAATTCACACAGAAAACGATGAATGAATGAGCCGAATATTTTTGATATATGTTCAAATTCAAGGTTTCTATTGTCATTCACATCACATGTGGCACATGAGGTGGAACGAAATTGTGTACCCAAGGTTCCAGTTACACCCAAAATTAGCAAAAATATAAAGCATAAAAAGAAACAGTATATAAGGATCTAAGATATACACTAAATGAACACTAAACAATACGCTAAAAGATATTTGATATACACTAAACACTAATAATGTAAAATAATACAGTATATTAAACAGCAACCTGCACATGAGTCTGTATTGAGCAGATGAGTATGAATACAGCAGTTTAAAGGCAAAAGATCAGCAGCATGGATAATCAGCAGCACACGTAAGATAAGATATGAATGGCTAAAATAGCACAAAGTATACAAAAGTAGTTAGACAGCAATAATTATACAGAAAAATAAAACAATGGGGGGGGGGGGGGAAATCAGTATTCACACTATTATGTGTTGAACCTAATTGGGTGTTCATTCTGGACTTGCAAGGATAATCTGTTAAACATAATGGTTAAACATAACCTTCTATTGAAGTCTCTTGAGCAATGAAAGACTATCAGTAAAATCCTGCAGGCATATGGAAGCTGCACATGCATGAACCTGTAAAAAAATCTATCCAAATGAAATCTCATTTAGTGTGTCTTTCTGTGCCTTCCTGGTGGTGTCAGCGTGAAGGATGTAGAGCCAGAGGTGGGGGCAGGATGGAGTGCTCCTGGAAGACGGTTCTGCTGCTCGTGTGTGCGTCTTTAGGGGTCCAATACACGGCCATCCGAACCCTGAGGGACTCGCTGTCTGGACCCTGTCGGGGGGCTTACAGGTGCCGGAGCAGACACCATGGAGGTACAAGCTCGCAGCAAATTAAGATTGCCCCAGATTTCAAAACCTTAATTGTCTTGTCGTCAATAAAAGGGCAAAAGGAGACATTTAGGACAGAAAGGATGAGGCTTCATCATCACTGCTGTTCCTGATGCAAAAGTTAGAGAGAGGAAGCAGGTTGTTAAATAAGGGAATTCCCTGTAAGTGGATTGGATAGAGAAGTGAAATATGCGTGATTTGTTTGGCAATTATCCTCCAATTTATCTGCTTTAATACCCTCTCATAGCACAGATGTAACTTGCCAGCGATGAGCTCCCGTGTACCAAAAGAAAAAAACACATCCCCTTTGCAATCAACTCTTCATCAGCAGTAATTACACATTAGCTATTTGCTCTATATTTAGAGATCCGCCATTTCATAATTCCCCTCTGAAAGCACCGGCAGACAAGCAACTTATCATGCATATTTACCCTCTGAATTATTTAAACTTTATTGGCTTTACGCTGTAGTTTGCAGGGTTATATATTACCATAGTTCACTTTTATGAGCTAAAGTTATTCTTCTGGAATGAGAGAAATAGATCTTATTTTCCTCAGAGCTTGAAATGATTATAACCTCATATTGTGGAATAGGTTTTATTTAAGGCTGTCACTTTTGTGAGGAAATTAAAAGTATGATGGTAATTCTGAAAGAAGATCTGCTCTTTTTTTATTCTTTAGACTCCAGATGGACAGCTTTGTGTGATGACAGCTGGATGCCCATTGAGTTTCCGCAAAAGCACATACTGCTGTTTTCCACCACACGCAGCGGCTCCTCCTTCACCGGGCAGCTCCTCAACCAGCATCCTGGGATCTTCTACGTGTTTGAGCCTCTCTACCACGTCCAGCAGGCCTTCACTAACTCCAGCAGCAGGCTGCGTCGCACCTTGGACCGCCGAGCCCTGCTGGGAGCGTACAGAGACCTCCTATTGAACCTTTACACTTGTGAGCTTCACTTCATGGAGAATTATATCCACCCTGAGCCTCAGGACCACATCACAAGCTCTTTGTTCAGACGGAGCTCCAGCCACGCCCTCTGCTCTCCACCTGTGTGTTTGGAAGGGGTGGATGCAGCTGATCAACCCGATGAAAGCTGGTGTCCGAAAAAGTGTGGGGCTTTGAATCTTACTTTAGCCTCTATGTCATGTCTGTCCAGGGGACATGTAGCCATAAAGACTGTGCGGATTCCTGAAGTTGGGGACCTGCGCACTTTGACCGAAGATCCTCGCCTGGACCTGAAGATCATCCACCTGGTGAGAGACCCCAGAGCTATACTGGCTTCACGCATCATGGCATTCTCTGAACAGTTTCGCGCCTGGAAAATATGGAACGTGACTGGACGGCAGCCACGATACGTGGACCTGTCGCAGATCACGAGCACCTGTAAGGACATGGCCGCCTCGGTCGAAACAGGCCTGCAGAGACTAGCGTGGCTGAGGGGACGCTACCTGCTGGTGCGATACGAGGACTTGGCCCTCAGCCCAGAGACCCGAGCCACTGAGATCTACAGGTTTGTTGGGCTGGAGATGGAGGACAGGGTGAGGATGTGGATTGGGAGAAACACCAACAGTAATGTGTCAAATCCATCTGAGTGGAATTACAAATACTCCACCACCAGAGACTCCAGAGTCACAGCAGAGAGCTGGAGGCTTCGCCTGAGCTTTGACATCGTAAGAACAATTCAGAATCTTTGTAACGACACTCTGGCTCTGCTGGGATACAGGCAGGTTCATTCTGCTGCCGAGCTCAGAAACTTGTCACACAGTTTGGTGGAACACAGGACATTTCAGCCTATCACTTGATGTCAGTGTTCAAAATGTTATTTATTCCTCTTTATGCTGAAGTTCCAGTCTGTTGAGATGCTGATGTATGTCATGTCATCAGTGTTAAAAGTGCCAGATTAAAAAAACAAAACAACTTGGGCTTAAAGCAGTTGAAGTCTGGTCCAGTGCAACTTCAGGATTTTATGTAAAACGTTTTGACCAGTATTAAAACAACAGCAACATTAGTTTTTATTCTTTAATCACAAAACAATTAACAGTACAGAAATCTGGATTATTGTGGCCAGGATTTTATTGTTAGATGATTTATTTAACCTTCAATTATTGTCCATTTTCAAATGGGATCAAAACGCTTTAGAAATTGAGGAAGTCTCTCTAGATCTAATAATCAATAATCGAGCAGAATCATCTTCCCCAGGCAGTGCTGGTTTAAGCCTCCATGGGGCCCTAAGCGAAATTTGGTTTGGGGCCCTCTATTCCTGCTAATAATGTGGATTACTGCAATCAACAGTCAGATGATCAGATCATTCACCGACCTAACATAAACTCATTGCAACTCTGACAGCCCTGACATTATCTTATATGTATATATCAACTAATGGAACTAAAAGTAACAACAACAAAAAAGCTGTATGCAATGTATTTTACAGCAAAAGTGTCATCTGGTTTATTATCTTTGGTTCTGCAACAGTAATGTTCAAAATAATTTGTAGTGCAAGATCAACACCAAACAGATAAAATAACTTAGATGCATATAAATAAATTAAATTGTGCAAAAACAGAAAAAATAAAAGATCAAGGATATAATCAAATAATGTAAATGAACATTTACTCGAAACCACGTAAAATGGTTTAAAAAAAAATAAAGTTGAATAATTAGTTCTTAAAACTATGTAAATGTATGCAACAATTTGCAAAAGCTGAATTTAAAATATTAAATAGAATCATATAGAAATCATTATACAAAAAAGAAAAATCAATTCCATTTAAGGGGGCCCCTAGTGGCCCCAGGGCCCTAAGGAACCTTTTATTAGTTTGCTTATGCCTTGGGCCAGCCCTGTCCCCAGGACCCCAGTGGTGTGGACCCCAGGAAAAGTAGCCATTGTTACAGCAATGGTTAATGGGGATCCAAATAAATAAATAAACACAAAATAAATCTTCCCAGTTCCTTCTAGATGTAAAGTTTTTTTTATTTGTAGACCTGCTGATCTAAAAGAGCGTTTCCTGCACATTCTTTCATCATTGCTTGTTTTATTAAAGTGTAAATGCATTAGAAAATAAAACATATTGAGCACAGAAAACATTTCCCTAATGCAAAACATAATAAGATCATTTTGAAATTATAATTTGTGATTTTACTGCAGGTTTAGGATAAAGTGAAAACTGTTATTTTAGCTTAGCTTTGATGCATTCTTTATAGGGGATTATAACATTTGGAAATCATTCTTATTACGTATTGACGCCAAAAAAAAAAAAAAAAATGACATTAAGATTTTTTTTACACCGAAGAAGGATTTTCTGAGTTCCAAGATTAAAAAAAATCATCTGTAACATTTTCTAAAGTGGTATTTCTGACTTTAAAAGGCAATCCAATGTGGCTGACTTGCACATAAAAAGTCATAAAAGATCCCTTTCTTAACCTTTTTTTTTTTTGTTTTTACTCTTTGCAGTATGCATCTCAGTTGCATATTGTAGTACTTTTACACCACTAGTAGTAATCATGTTACTATGTTTGATTGCACAGAGAAAAAACGAGTGTTATCAGCTTGTACTGCTAATAGGAGTTAGCTTGATAACTGAGCGTTATTGAATCCTGAAGATTTTTAAAGCTGCAGCTAGAACTTGGTCAAAGTCATGTCTGATGTTGATTTTAGGTCCAAATTCTGACAGTCAAGGTGAAAGAAATGCAACATACTGTATGGCCCCATCCACACTACTCTAACTAAATGTTGAAACTTTAGGTTGAGCTTGCACCTCCTTTTACATACAAACCAATATTTTTGTGAGAAAAACAGTTTTTTCTAAAAGACGCTTTCCAAAGTAGATTTTTTTTAATTGGTTTGTTGTATAGGTGTAGACACAGGCTTTGCAGAAATTATGGCAAGCAGCCAGTTATGCTATAACTGTTCTCACAAACAAATATGGAGCTGTTTTTACTGTTTTTATCTACATCTCTCTCTCTCTTCATCCCAATCTTGTGCTGAATAACTGAAAAGAAACTATAAAGTTTTTGGGATAAATTTTATAGCCGAAGCGTGTTCTTTCTCTGTGTTTAAGCAATGTGGCATGAGTATTTCAGCGTTTTCTTAAAGTGTGAGTGGAGAAAAAACTATAAATGGAGGAAAAAAAATGTCTGTTCAATAAATACCTGGAGTGTAGATGAGGCTTTTTACCCGTGTCATGGGGACAAATACTTTGTGAAAACATGCAAACTGCATTTTCTCTGGATTTCCTGTGAACATTAACTGTCCCAAGTTGAATATCTGGTGCTGAGTCAGGATGCAAATGCAGCAGCAACTCTTCCAGAGCATCCATGCTGTTGCATGCTGGTGAGAGATACCTCATATTTTTTTAATGATGGTTGGTATGTTGCTTTCCACTTGATATGTTCACTTCCATGTTGGAGCTATGTGAGCACAAGGAGCCTTATCTGTTAAACATGCTGTAAGGAAAACAGTGATTTCCACTTTTTTCCCTGTTCCTTCATATTTTTAGCTGTAAGAGAGCATCTGAAGCAGAAAAATCCCCTTCTGACAAGTGTTGTATGTTTGTGAGCTATTTCAGAAAATGTTTGTACGTTTACTCGTTTTTCCGTCATTTCCAAATTTCATAATGTGATCAAAGCTTTGAAGAAAGGTTTTTTTTTTTTAATGTACAGCTTTTTTGAATATTGCCTACATTTGAAGTGTCTCACAAGGATTTTTTTTAATTCAGGCAGATCTATTTAGCACACAAATAGCATTCATAACAACTACAAATAGGAATCAATTATTATATTATTTACTTACTGTATACAAATGTATTAGCTCATACACATCCTGGTGCAATGCTCTCTGCTGCCGTATGTCCAGCTCTTGATCCCAGAGGCCTTTGTTTTTTTTTTTGTTGGTTTTTTTTTTTGGAAGCTGTTGATTCAAAGTGCTGGTTTTGATCCACTGACCTGGAAACCTTCCTGGAGCTCAACACCACTCACAAGTCTTAATGGAGTGAGTTTTGATGAGACTGAATTGTTGATTCTTCTTTTTGTTTTTTATTTAGCTTTTACATGGTTCTCGTTTGCAGAAGGATAAAAACATATGATGATACTAAAGTTAAAGTGATTTATTGCAAAGAAAAGAAGGGAAAAGAATGAACTTTAGCTAAATTATAGTGCTTAATTTTGAAGCATTGGAAGTTATGAAAATGGCAAATGCTGTAGAGTTTTTCTACAGTACACAGAACTTTGTTTGCAGGATTTTTATTTATTTTTTAATCTGCAGCATCTTTGTTGTATAAAACAAGCGTTGCTGCTTATAAAAAGTGTGCAAATATGTGGTGGACATATTTAATCCTTGTTTTTTCCAACACAATGACCTTGGTGACTTTTTAACACTTTTTAAAATAAACTTCCACATGTGGAAATTACCAGTTTGATGTGTTTAATTTAGTTTTATAAGAAAACCAGACAATTATTTAACTTCAAAGCTGAAAACAGAGAATGAAGCAAGCAAGTCAGTATCTTTTGTTTAAATTGTCTTCTGGCCTCATTCCTCTGATGCATCTTTAGTAACTTCTGTTTTTGATGCAAGAAAACGTTCATTTTTCTTTGAACCTCCCAGGGAGGATATCAGTATCAGTCAGCCTCGGTCTGCTGTGCGGTACGGCCAGAGATTAGACAGCTATATGTTCTGTGAGTCTAAACAGAAAAAAAGGATGTGTGCCGTCTCCAAGCACCAGCCTATTCTTTTAATGTGGAGCTGCTGTCTCAAGATAAACACTGTTTGTAAGGAAACTCATTGCATGAACTGTAGACAAACCACTGACTGACTGTGATTTTCTCGTCCTTTGAATGCGAACATTGCATTTAAAAGGCAGCGTTCACATTCCTACGGAGGCTGCAATTCTCTCCTGCTGGTAGCTGTGAGCTTTCTTGCTTATGATGCTGATGAAAGCCACAACAGAATGATAGAAAGTATGCAATTTCACTACAAGAGTCACGCTGCCTGGTAAGTACTATTAGATCTGAGGTGAAATTGTCCCTTTAATAATGTATTTTTAGACACCCAGTCCTTCTCATCTTTCCTGTGGCTTCTCTTTAGATGCTGACACCAGGGATATCTGAGCACAAAGAATTGATCTACAGATTCAGCTGAGGGGAAACAGGATTTAAGATGCATTGAGAAAAGACCAGCCGCCTTTCTTTGAACTTAATCTGCTGGGCTACACAAACTGGCCATAAAGCAAAGCTTTATGACACCCGAGGAGATGTGCTTCATCGGTTTTTCCATCCCCACCCTGACACACAAAGCTGCAAGTAGCCTGAGTCAGCTGTCAGCTAATTACCCGCTTCTCCTGCACTCAATACAGGCAACGCCTTTCTGTCTTCTTGAGTGCTCTGATAAATTCAGGTCTTATCATTGCTGGAAACAAATATGAGGTAGATGCTCGGAAAATGCAAAAAAGCATTCCATTCATCAGTGGTTCCCATCCTCACGGAGCTGTCAGACAGGAAGAATGGGGCCAATTTTTGTTTCTAGAAGCGACAGATGCATATACCTTTCATATTTTGTTGACCCAGAATCATGTCATCTTAAACAAAACAAGAGAGTCTCAACAACCGATAGAGACAGTGATGAACACAAGCTTTAAGAACAGCTCGTTTTACTCAGTAATCGCCTCCTAAACTTGACCAAATCATTGGGAAGTCTAATTAAAAGGTACTCATTGCAAACTAGAACATTAAACATAAAAGGTTTACCCTGATCTAAATCAAATGTTGCCATTTGAATGAGTTTACTCCAGTATTTTTTATGATATATCAACATGAAGTTCTGATGTTGTGGAAAATAACAAACACTGAAAACACGTGAAATAAACATTCTAATCAAGAATGTTCTTGTAATGATTTTTATTTCAAAGCTTCGAGGACAGATAGTCAAACAGAGAGAACAAAGGACTGACTGAAGTTGAGTGTGTTGAGTGAATGTGTCTCTGGATATTTAAATAAACTGTGTGTGA